TTCTATTCTATTCTATTCTATTCTATTCTATTCTATTCTATTCTATTGTTTCTATTCTGTTCCTATTCTATTCTATTCCTTATTCTATTCTATTCCGTTCCTATTCTATTCTATTCTATTCTATTCTATTCTATTCTATTCTATTCTATTCTATTCTATTCTATTCTATTCCTGTTTCTATTCTGTTTCTATTCTATTCTATTCTGTTTCTATTGGATTCGATTCGATGCTCTTTTGCTGGGGGCGACCCGACCCCACGAGCCCGCCCCCCCCCCCGACGGCTCACCGTGGCCCAGGGCGACGAGCGCGGCTCCTCCAGGAAAGCCCAGGCCGCCCGCGCCGCCCGCGCCCACCGCCCGTCCGTCGTCCCGCGCGGGCCCCGCTCCAGCAGTCCGCGCCGGTCCTCTCGCCGCCCGGGGCCGCCGCCTTCCTCCTCCTCCTCCTCCTCGGCCTCGTCGTGGTCGCCGGGGCAGAGCTTGCTCCAGCAGCAGGCGGGCAGCCGCGCCTCCGTCAGCCCCCAGAAGGCCAGCTCGGCGCGCAGAGCGGCGCGGCAGGCGGCGGGCCCGTGCAGGTGGCCGCTGCGGCACAGGTGCAGCACCTGCTCGAAGAGGCGGCCGCTCCGGTCGAAGAAGAACTCGCCGGCGCGGGCGTCGAAGTCGAAGCGGTCCGCCGCCCCGGGCTCGGCCAGCCCGCTCAGCTTGGTGCCCGGGAAGGCTGCCAGGGTGCCGCGGCAGGTGCGGTAGCGGAGCCCGCCCACGTTCAGGGTGACTCGGCCCGAGGGAGCCTCCATGGCCGGCGCGGGGCTGCACGACCTGCCGGGGAGGAGAAGCGGCGGGATGCCGAGGGCCCAGCTGAGCTCCGTCCGGAGGGCGATTCCCTGCTGCCCGAGGGCGCCGCTGGGATGCTGCTCGGCCGGCCCACCTCGCAGGGCGCCACGGAGGAGGAGGAGGAGGAGGCGGCCTCACTGAGCTCCCCGGCCGGGCGCTTTGCGGCCGTCCCCGCTTCCCCTCCACCCGACGGAGCCCGCGCGGCCAGGGCGAGAGCAGCAGCGGCGGCGGCGGCGAGAGAAGGCTCGGGCGGCCGGACAGCGCGGAGTCTCCCAGCCGAGCGGCGGAGCGAGGCGGCCAATCCGGAGCGAGTCGCCCCCTTCCCGCCCCGTTGCGCAAGGAGGGAAGAGCCGCCCCGCCGCCCTTCCTGGCCCGGAGCCCCCCCCCCCGGTCCTTCCGAGGGGGGGTCCTTGTAGGTCATCTAGTCCAACCCCCCACCCCATCCCTGACAGACGGCAGTGCAGGCTCTTCTTGAAAGCCTCCAGGGATGAAGCGCCCAGAACTTGCCAAGGCAACTTCTGTTCCCCGGACAAATTGGGGAGATGGAAATCCCCCTCCCTCACGGAGAAACACACACGCCTATCCAGCGGGACCCCCCCAGCTGTTCTGACAAGGGGGCTGTTAGGTCAAAGGCCCAGGTGGGAGCGGCTTGGTCCCTTCCCATCATGGAAAGCCTCAGAGAAATAATGTGCAGAAGTCAATCAAGGAGACGACGCTCTTCTGGGCGGCTGGAAGAGGCTGCCTTTTCTTGGGGGGAGCCAAAGGCACCCACCTCTCTGGCAATCCTGTGGGCTTGGGGGACCCCGGGACCTGAGCCCCTTCTTCTCCCCGGGGCTTCCCTCGCCCGCCTCTGATCAGCCTCCCCGTCCATTTCCCTGCCATCAACACCTGGAAGCGATGGGGGTGAGGAGGTTGGGGGCTGCCCCTGTCTTGGGCAGGATGGGTGGACTCTGTGCTGGTCATTCAGGGAGGCCAAACGGGCTGGCTGGAGCTGCTTTGGGGGCAAGCAAAGACAACCAGCATCCACAGAGAGGCAGACAGGCTGGGCCTTGAATGAGAGACTGTGGGGAGAAATGGGCCTTCGGTCTCCCCTCTCTCTGGGCAGAGAAATGGGGTCCACGGGGCGCCAGGAAGCAGAGGCTTCGTATTCTCTCCCCTTCTTGGCCGCTGTCAAAGAGCCGGGGTGATAACGGCCTATTGGAATAGCTGCGGACGAGTTTTCATTGCCGTTTTCTAAAGATGCTTCTAATTATGGAGTCAGGCTATATCATTAATCATTTAACTACACATTTGCTTTGGAAAGAAAATAGAGTTGGTTCTTCTTCATCTGTGTGTGTGTGTGTGTGTTTGTGTGTGTTTTAAATTAAAATTACAAAAAGATTAAACACAGAAGAACATCCCTCTGCTATTGCCAAAGCAACGGAAGGGACAGAGCTGTTCATGAGGAGGTCTTATGCAATCCCCCCCCCGCCCCCGTGCCCTCCCCCCCCCGTCCCCCGTCCCCTCCGTCCCTCTGGTGCCTCTGTTTATAGGCTGCTTTTGTGTTTTGGCCTCCGTGAGTTGGAGTTGAGCCCAAGCACATCCTGTTTTTCCTCCCTTCTTCTTCTCCCTCCGTTTGCAGGCTACTTTCCCCCAAGTCCTCTGCAAAACTGCTCTACGCCAGATTGAAGGTAAAACTATAAAAGCGAATGAGAAGGTTGGTGGGGCCCTTGCAGAGCCGGAGAAGGAAGCGGCAGCTGAAAAGGGGAATCTTTGGATGTCGGTGAAGAGGGACCTGAAACCGATTCCAGGGGCTCAGCAGCCTTTGTCCAAGAAGGTCCCAGGTCCGGTGCTTTCACTTGGGTGGGACGGGGTCAGGCTGGAGTTGTTCCTGCCGTTTCTGTTTGGGCAGAAACTGGCGGACAATTAACTTAGCAATTCATTACAACCAGGAACTTTTCACTCTCCAGTGTGGGATTTGTCCGCTTCAGAAGTGAATGCTTGTTCTTGTTTTTCCTCATGGTCGTATGTTCATTTTTCTGACTTTTATAATTTTCAATAAATCCCTCAGCTGGGTATGGAAATATTTGCTTAAAATTTCAAGAAATGTCATGCATTGGGTTAATTTTTTTTTTTTTAAAAAGTCCTCATTTTCCAAATCATTCTCGTTTCCTGGGCAGAGAATTAAAGGGGCATCCAGGTTTCATGTTCGGCTGGATCTTTCTGAGGAAATTACGTTCTGTGCTCATTACTTTGGGCTCCACAGCTGGAAAGGGCCACCCAAAGGACAGTTGTCAGGTACTGGAAAGAATCAGATGAGTTAACATTTTCTTCATCTAAGGTGCTAAAAGGAATGAGTTAAACTTTTAATACTTCTTTTGATATTCTACTGCCTGCTTCTGGGCCGCTGGTTTTAGTGGTCAAGAAACAACTGGACAGAAGGGTGCTGATGAAGGATGAAGGGCAAAGGAGGTGTGTGTGTGTGTGTGTGGTCTGTTTCAGTCCCTTGGTCTCGTGGACAACCTCTTCCTTCTAAAGGTTTGGGGACACCACACCCTGTCGTGGTGAACTGCACAAGCCCCACCTTAACTAGGAAAGGCTGGGAGGGAGAAGCAACACGCGGTAATATGCTAAGCCACCAATCTAAAACCTGCTGCTTACTGAAGCAACTGCCTGTTGAGTTAATACAGTTGCTGGATGTGTGGCGTTGTGACTTGTCTTCCATGTTGTTTGGCTTGATCTCCCTCCGTCCGAAAAGAAGCAGAGCGGTAGGGAGGAAAAGGCTGCAGAAGGAGCCCCGCCAACTCCCTGCTCCCCTGTCGGCCCATTTGGGGCCAGGGTAGGAAGGACCCTTGTCCCTTTCTTCTCAGCCTAGCGAGGCGAAAGGGAGGCGACCGACGAGCCGGACAAGGCCAGCCTGTTTAGTCTTCGGAAGCCTCCCATCGCTTTTCTCCTGAAGGGTTGGTAACAATAATGACAATAATACCAAATCACTGGATAATGGAGCCTCGGCTATTACCCAGATGAATATTGTAGATCAGTGGCGGCTAAACTTTGGGGGCTCCTATGCCAAAAATTGTGTGCTTGCACGCGTGCGCACTCACATGCCAGCACCCAGAAGGCAATGCGTGCCCACCCAAGCCCCCCGCACATGCGCGCGCAATCTTCCCCCCGCCCCCTTACCTGCACTGCTCCCCCCAGCTGATTTTCAGCCCATTTGAGGCCTTTTTCAGCCTCCCAGAGGCTTGAGGAAAGCCTCTGCAGCCCGTAAAATGAGCCTGTTTCGTCACTTCCGGCATTTCCAGAAATACAGGAAGTGATGAAACAGGCCTATTTTCCAGGCTGCAGAGGATTTCCTCAAGCCTCTGGGAGGCTGAAAAAGGCCTCAAACAGGCTGAAAAATCAGCTGGGAGGTGCACGCATGTGCAGTGAGGTAAGTTTGCCTACGGCTTGCGTGCTGGCACAAATGGCTTTGCATGCCACCTGTGCCACGCGTGCCATAGGTTCGCCATCACCGTTGTAGGCGATGATGATGACAGACCTTTTCCTGTTCTTGGCAGCTAGTTGCAAGAGATGAAACCACTGGAGGAAAAGATCTTCTTGAACATTGGGGGGCTCCGGTACGAGACCTATGCCAGCACCCTCCAGGCTTTCCCTGGCACCAAGCTATGTCGCCTGACGGAGCCCCAGGCAGCCGCCACCTTTGACTATGACCCGGACACCCAGGAGTTCTTCTTTGACAGAAGTTCCTGCCTCTTTGAGGACGTGCTCAACTACTACAGAACCAAACAGCTCCACTGCCCTGACCTGACCTGCAAGTCAGCTCTGGATGAGGAGCTGGCCTTCTGGGGGCTCAGCAACGCCCCCCTGGCACCCTGCTGCTGGCAGAAATTGACCATCGCTGAGAGGCAAAAGGAAGAGTATGGCATCCGGGAGGAAGAGCAAGAGGTCGCTGGGCTCCTGGACCAGGCGGGAAGGAACCAGGGCGCCTGGAGGGGCCGATGGCGGACCAGAATCTGGGCCATGTTTGAGAAGCCCTTCTCCAGTTTAAGCGCAAAGGTCAGCTGGCGGTTTGGGGAGGGGGCAGCATGTGCTCCTTGCAGTCTGGCCTGAGTGGTTTTCTCGGCCTCCCGGGGCTTACGGGGCCACGGGGCCGAGGCTAAGCCAAAGGCACCCACCCGTTTTCTTAGCATGAAGCAGCCGGTCTCCCTTTCAGAACCGTGCTGAGTCCTTGGTCCCCCTGCAGGGAGAGTCCACTCCAAGGGCAGCTGGGGGGGGCAGCCATTTGGTGTCATTGCTCCTCTGGCCTCGAAGACCTGCAGGAGAGGCTCAGGGTTGAAGATCAGGGCACGTCGAGTGCCAATCTTGCTGCCCATTATAATACTAGCAAAATAGTAGGCATGGCGATTTGATGGGGTGAAAATCAACCTGTTAAGGATGCAATGTTGACATAGCCTCCCTCCGGGCTCCTCCAGTGCCTCATCTTTTTCAGACAAAGCTGGCCAAAGATGGGTTTAAAAAAAAAAATTCTTCCCCAAGTTCATGTGCAGAGAAATTGGGCAGACATTTTTTTTTATTCTGAATTTTTCTAGGGGAAGGAGGAATTCTCCAGGGAGTGCCTGGGAGGAGGCCCTTCCTGAGATTATGGATGGGAATGAATAGAAGGAGGGCGGGGGGAGGGGGGAACGAGATGTTAGAGAGGGGCTATTCAGACCTTTGGCCAGCCAGTTTCCAGGTATGACAGGAGCCCCCCCCCCCGGTGAGTTTGGGGGGGAGGTTTCTGGCAAGGACTTTTTCTCAAGGTTGAATTATGAACGCATTTTAAGAGAATGAGGGGGTCACATCCCCTGGGGTTCTAGTTTCAGGCAGTTCGCTCCTATGCCCTGGATTCAGAGAGGGGATTGGTCTGCTAAAAGCTGAGCCCCTTTAACTTAAGTCGCTGGCATAGCTGGCATTTAGGCACAGGATATTTGCACAGCCGTCCTGATATTCAGGAATATCAGGGTGGCGGGAAGGTAAGATGAGCGGCGTATATATTGGATTGATAAAGCAACTTGTCCGTCCTCCTGTCTTCCCCTCTTCCCCCTCCGCCCCCCCTCCAGGTCTTGGCTG